AACTACGTCTCTGCAATAATGCTACTGGCTATTATCTAAAATAAGGCTTTATAGTACGTGGCACCCAAATAATTTGGGATTCTTAAACAAACAAACAAAATCTTGCACGAGAACTCTTCGAAAACCAACCATGTCCATTCGCCAACCAGGATGGAGAACAGGCAGAGAAGAGATCAAAGAAGATGGAGAATTAAAACTTTAGTAAAAAGAATAAAATAGCCCTTTGGTTTCCGTCACAACATTAACCCCTACTCCCTGATCAACTGTGCTAAGCATCTCAAAAGCAGACAGTTGCCTGAATATACTAGTTATAGACAGAGTGAACTTCTGGTTATAAACACATGGTCTTCACTGTGTCATTTACTATAATCCACATTCTCATTTGGGTCAAAGCGGGGATCAAAGGAGATGGAAGTAGTTGGAGATGAGGAGATGTTACTATCTGACAGGCTGACACCCTTAGCTTACAGTATATAAAGTTACTCTGATAATTTTATTATTGGTGTGAGGCTGGAGTTAATAGCAGAGGCATTCAGATATGATAACGGACTTAAAAACCAATCCAGCCACTTACAAAGTAGCTTTATTGTGGAAGTTATCTACTTTGTATATGTTATACACATTTAAAATAGAAGAATAACTGATTTAAATCCTTTCTAAGTTTTCATTTGTCTCAGAAGCCTATTAACTTACTTTACAATGTTTACCTCATTCCTATCATTGCATGAGAAACCTAAGAAAATATAAGCAAATAATTACCCAGGAGAAGAGAGAACGTTGCTATATACAAATGGGTTTCCAATGCACAACGCCAAGTAAACTGTAACAGAAGCACTGATTACTACTGGTGCTACTTTCAGAAGGAATTCCGTTTTATTGGAAGAAAGGATCCTTCACCAAAGACTTCCACTCAATGGATACTCACGGCCTGATTTTTTAGAGAGTTTCACTTTATAGAGAGTTTTCACTTTATAGAGAGTTTCTAACATGATGGAGACAACAAATAGACACAACAAATCCCAGGACACTGTGGTAAAACACCTCCATCCTGACCTGCAACCAACCAGCTCCCTTCGTGGCCTTCTCTTTAGGTACTACTTCTTTCTCAGTTCTGAAAAGGCAACACCTTGTTAAACGATCTAACGAGACCATCAAAAACCAGCTGCCAAACAGCTAATTCACAACCCCAGTTCCAAACTACGTATGTAACACAGGTCTCCCAGGGAAGCTGGATCCCCAACCTGCTCCCCCAGCCAGCCCCAAGCAAAAGTCTCCTCTCTCAACTGTTGCACAGGAGACGGGGGTATTTCAGAGCCAGTAACAGCAAGAACGCTGGTGCTTTGGAGTGCAAAGTACAGTGAGTATGTGGCCTTTAAAACCCCAGTCCTTTAACGTAAAGGCTAAACATTCATAGCACCGGACATGTCCCCACTCTTAAGGAGCTGGGCTCCTCTTCTCGGTCTAAGTTTCCTGCCGGCGAGGACCACAGGAATACAAATAATGTCACCCCTGGAGGCTTGCAAAACTTGGAGGCAGCCCCGAGACTGCCGACTTCCAAGAAATCTGCCTCCATTCATTGCACCGACAGGCTTGGCAAGGAACACCTCGTCGCCTTACAAAAGCATCGCTCTGAAAACTGGCGATT